GTGTATGTGCGTGTGCACGATCCAAATTGTTCTCCCGGCTCCCCCCTTTACTCACCCGACAACACGCTTTGGCTCCTCCCATCATCTGTTCACACCAACCCCAAATCCCCCTACCCCCGTCCCGCACCAGTGCGTGGCGTGCAATTGGGTTTACCATCGACCTCATCTGCTGCGGCGCCATCCTCTTTCCCATCGTCTGGTCAATCGACCACCTTCAGGTCAGACACGCTGCTGTTGGACGCGTGCAACATGGGCGTGTATTTGCGTGTGTATTTGCGTGTGAGTGCGTGAATGCGTGTGTATTTGCAAGTGCGACACGTGGCACATCTGTATTTACGTTTTCAAGTACGCACTGCGCAAGTGTGCAGCATGCACGCTTTACTGGTGTGCGGGACGCCATGTGCGTGTGCACCAAACATGCCATTGCTCCCACTTGCGTGAACTGATCCTGTCACTGTTTTCCCCACCCTCCCCACACCGCATGTCTTCCCACCTCCATCTTGTCCTTCATCATGATTTGTTCAGAGTGCTGCTGAGATTGACGGCAAAGCAGCCGTGAGCCTGCAGAAGCTTCGCCTCTTCCGCCGCTTCTATGTTCTCATGATTGGCTACATCTACCGTGCGTACCCGACCCACACATGCACACTTGTGAATTGCCTTGCGGTGGCATGATGGTCACCATCGCGTTGCATAACACACACACACACACACACTCACACACACACACACAAGCACACACACACACACTCACTCACTCACACACACACTCACTCACTCACACACACACACACACACACGCACACACACACACACAAGCACTCACTCACTCACTGTCACACACACACACACACACACTTACTCACCCCCCCCCCGCTGCAGTGACGCGCATCATCATCTACTTCATGGCGAGCACGGTGCCCTTCCGCTACCGCTGGGTCACCTCCCTCCTCACAGAGCTCCTTACCCTCGGCATGTACATGGTCACAGGGTGCGTCGTCTTTGTCGTGCACCTGCTTTTGCTTCTTGGGTCACACGTTTGTGTGCATGTATGCGCACAGGTTGTGTGTCTGGGTGTGTTTGTGTGCGTCTGTGCACATGTTGTGTGCGTGCGTGCGTCTGCCACTCTTGTCTGGGGGTTGAAGCTTCCTCCAGTCACTGAGCTTGTTCTGCCTGTGGCCTTCTTCTGCTCCACTGCTGACAGGTCAATGTTCTCGCCGCACGAAGGCAACGACTATGTTCGATTGGCGCGGGTGAGCCTTATGTCTTGGTTCATGTGTTTGTGAGTGAGTGAGGGACGAGCGAGGGATGAGTGAGTGTGCATGTGTTCGTGAGTGTGCATGTGTTCGTGAGTGTGCATGTGTTCGTGAGTGTGTACGTGTTCGTGAGTGTGCATGTGTTCGTGAGTGTGCATGTGTTCGTGAGTGTTTGTGTGTGCAGAGCTCGCTGATTTGTGATTGATATGCGACATGGGCGATCGCTGTCTGTGAGTGTTGCCCACGCTCCTGCTCAGCGTGCGCATGATATGTGCATCCTGTTCATGGCGTGCTCACTTAATGTTAATGCATACCTCCTAGGCGGACGAGGAAGATGAACAGGCGGAGTCGTATGAGCTGGAGAACGTTATGACACACGCAGCGCCGGGAACGGGCGTGCGCAAGGTCAACCGCCCACGCATCAGTGGAAGGTGAGCGTGCATTCGAAACTTGAACTCTCAGTTGTTCCACACACACACACACACACCAACACATGCATGTCAACACATGCCTGCAGCTCCTCCAATCCCTCCAATCTCCCAACTCATCAGCGCACTCCTGTGTACACACACACACACACACACACACGACGACAACAGGGATGCGGATTGAGGTTGAGTATCAGTGGCGACATGACAAAATGGAGTGGATGTGGTGGTGGATACTGCGTTTTGTGCGTTGTAGTGCGTTAAAAGAGAGCAGTTGTGTGCGAGTTGTATATCATGCCCAGCGAGTTGAGCTGTACAATGAAAATTAGCAACATCTTCCCAAGCTTATCCTCTTTGCCTCAAACCCCCGCACAGCAAAGCAAAAGCAAAGGACGACAACAGACGGCCACTCAGCACTGACGCACCACTCCGCAAACACAAACACAGGCAGCGTCCATCGCCACACACACACACACACACACACACACACACACACACACACACACACACACACACACACCCTCGCTCTCACTCTCACACACAAGCAAACAGCCAAGGTCAGGCACATCTGTTGTGTGCTCGGTGTGGGTGGGAGATCAGCCATGTGAACGCGAGCGGGAGCATAGGACTGCTGGTGGTGGTGTTGGTGTGTTGGTTTGTTGGTTGATTTGTTTGTTTTGTTTGGTGAAGTGTGTTTCTACACCAAACAGTCGACGCAACCACACACACACACACACAGACACACACACACAGACACACACACACACACACACACACACACACACACACACACACACACACAAACATAAACACCTGCTTTTGCATGCTTCTGCATGTCACAAGCAAGCCAATGGGAAGGCAGACACGCAGTGGCTCCCTTCTTGCTACCGTGACTCACCCAGCATCTCCCTTGCTTATGTTGCTTAGATGGCGAGCAAAATGCCAGCCTGTGTCATCGATGTTGGCACTGGCTACACAAAGATGGGCTTTGCCGGCAACTCGGAGCCCTCCTACATCTTCCCCTCTGGTGCGCGCGTGCATGGGTGAAGAGGTTGAGTTTGGGGGGGGGGAGAGTGCGTGTGTGTGTACGAGGCGGGAGGGATTTTATGTGTGTGCGCGCGTGCGTGCGTGCGTGCGTGCGTGCGTGTGTGTGTGTGTGTGAGGGTGCTTGGATTCACCGTGCGTGTGTTTGGATGTGCCGCGCGTGTGTTTGGATTCAGCGCGTGTGTCAGTGAGTGTGTGTGCTCGCTTGCTGGGAGAGTCAAGCTCCAACAGCGGCGTCGGCGCGCCACAGTGTCTTTTGATGACGTGCGTCTCGCGAAAGTCTCACACTGTACTTTTTTTTGTTCGTGCCTTTTTGCAGCCATTGGAGTGAAGGAGAACGTCGGGCGTGGCATGGCACAGGGCGTCGACGACCTCGGTATGTGCCGTGATGCATGCGCGTTTGTGTGTGCCGTGATGCATGCGCATTTTTTTGTGTATGTGCATGCCTTTGTTAGCAGCCGCCGCCCATCCATGCGCTTCTGCCCCTTGTTTGCCGACCCGCGTGCTCAATTGCAAATTGCAACCCCTTGCTTGAATGGGGCAGACTTCTACATTGGCGATGAGGCCATGAACACACCCGGGTATGCCACAAAGTACCCTGTCCGCCACGGCATTGTCGAGGACTGGGATCTCATGGTCAGTCGCCCCCCCCCCGGCCGGCTGGAGCTCGCGACTGCGTGCACTCTTATCTCTTCCTCTTGCATGCATGCGCTTGCTCGCGTGTATGTGCGTGTGCGTGCGTCGACCTGCAAGCGCCTGTGACAATCATGTCCACGGTCGACACGCTTGCACTCACATCGCTCGTTTCCCCTCCACACACACACATCTCTGCTCTGTGTGCTTGGTGGTTTTGTACAGGAGAAGTTCTACGAGCAGGCCATCTTCAAGTACCTGCGTGCGGAGCCTGAGGACCACTACTTCCTGCTCACGGAGCCGCCACTGAACCCGCCCGAGAACCGCGAGTACCTTGCCGAGATTATGTTCGAGTCGTTCAACGTCCCTGGCATGTACATTGCGGTGCAGGCCGTGCTTGCCCTTGCGGCGTCGTGGACGTCGAAGAAGGCCGAGCGCACCCTCACCGGCTGCGTCATCGACTCTGGTGACGGTGTCACCCACGTCATCCCAGTGGTGCGTTCACACGAAAGAGAGAGCGTGCGTGTTGTGCATGTGTGCATGTGTGCATGTAAGCATGTGCGCGTGCGTGTGTGTGCGCGCGCGAGCGTGCCTGCTCGTGTGCTTGCATTGTGTGTATCTGAAGGTGACATCTTGGTCGTGTGTGCGTACCCTCGCATGCATCTTGTTTGACACGACCTTGCGCACACCTCATCCAACGTTGACCTGTTCTCACGTCAAAACCCACTCCTTTCTCCGTCACCCCAACACACACACGCACACGCACACACACACACGCGCGCGCGCGCAGGCCGAGGGGTATGTGATTGGCAGCTGCATCAAGCACATCCCGATTGCTGGCCGCGACATCACATACTTCGTGCAGCAGCTGCTCCGCGAGCGCGAGGTTGGCATCCCGCCCGAGCAGTCGCTCGAGGTTGCCAAGCGCATCAAGGAGCGCTACACATATGTCTGCCCAGACATTGTCAAGGAGTTTGAGAAGTACGACAAGCAGCCCGACAAGTACTTTAAGCAGTACACGGGCCACAACAGGGTCACGAAGAAGCCCTTCTCCGTCGACGTTGGCTACGAGCGCTTCCTCGGGCCCGAGATTTTCTTCCACCCCGAGTTTGCCAACCCGGACTTCAAGACCTCCATCTCCGAGACCGTGGACACGGTCGTGCAGCAGTCGCCCATCGACGTCCGCCGCGGCCTCTACAAGGTGCGCTGCTTGGTTGTAGGAATAGTGCTGCTGGTGCTGCTGGTGGTGGTGGTGGTGGTGGTGGTGGTGGAGGTGGTGGTTGTGCTGCTGCTGCTGCTGCTGCTGCTGCTGCTGCTGCTGCTGCTGCTGATGATGATGATGATGATGATGATGATGGATGGTGATGATAAAACGGGGGTGACTCCCGTTGGAGGACGGATAGTGCGTGCGTGGCGTGTTTGTTGTTCATTGGATGAGAGGATATTGTTTCAGGTTTGCTTTGCTTTCTTTCCATTGTGTCACCATCCTCAAATCGATCCCGCACCTTCCCAATGTGCCCAACCTACCCAACCTACAACACTCTCATCTCCCCTCCCCTCTTCTCTTGCCCCAAACCAATGTGCAGAATGTTGTGCTGTCTGGCGGCTCGACGATGTTCAAGGACTTCCGCCGCCGTCTGGAGCGCGATGTGCAGAAGCGCGTCGACCTCCGCCTCAAGCGCAGCGAGGAGCTCTCCGGCGGCAAGCTCAAGGTCCCAATCCCGTCTTTGTTGTCTTTGCTGTCTTTGCTGTGGTGTTTCGGGTTCCTTTCGTTGGCGTTTTGTGCCGTGTCGCGTTTGTGCTTCGCAGTTTGTGTGTGTTCCAATGGCCACTGCGCTGCTTTGCTCACGCAATCTCTCCACCATCCTTTGACCCTCCTTTTCCTATTTACAAACGACTGTTGTGCTCGACGGACACCAACAGCCCCAGCCGATCGAGGTGAAGGTTGTCTCGCACGCCATGCAGCGCTACGCCGTCTGGTTTGGCGGCTCCATGCTCGCTGCCACCGTAAGTCATACGGCTTCACTGTAGTGTGTGCGTGTGCTATGTGTTGTGTGCGTGTGCTATGTGTTGTGTGTATGTGTTGTGGCGTTGTGGCGATGATTGGGGGGTCATGGTGAGCGTGTAGCGTCGCCAGTGCCGGTCATCCGTTGTTTGTGTCCTTGCAGTTGCGCGCAAGCCTGCATCTCACTCACTCCACCCTTACACACGCACACACTCCAGCCCGAGTTCTACAAGGTGTGCCACACCAAGGCCGACTACGAGGAGTATGGCCCCTCCATCTGCCGACACAACCCAGTCTTTGGCACCATGTCGTAAGCGCCCTCAACGTCACACTTTTGCCCACTCAGTGCTTGTTGTGCATTTTCTCTCCTTTCCCTCTCATCTCTTCATTTTGCCCCCTCCCCCACGCCAGCCTCTTGCTTGCACCTTGTTTTGCTTGCTCTGTCCCTCCCCTTCCTTCTTCCCGGCCCTGGTTGTGTCACTGTGCCCTTGTTGGATCTCTTGCTTCTGTTCTTGTGCCAACCACCTGTTAGTGCGTGGCTGCACACCATTCCCGTGCTGTGTGTCTTGTGTGTTTTGGTTTTATTGTTGTGTTCGTCGCGTAATCTTGTGCAGGATGATGTGATTGTGATTGTGAATGTGAATGCGGTGGCGTGGTGGTTGTTGTCACGCGTGCTCCGTGTTGTTGTGTCTGTGCTCTGCTTGTCGTGACCGATGATTGGTTCAAATCGAATGAAAACCCCTCCTCAGAACTCACCACACATGTTGGCAGAAACCAGTTGTGGGCGATCTGCAACGGTGAATTCAGTGGTGGTGGTGGTGGAGGGGGTGTTTATATCTGGGGGTGGTGGTGGCCATGGTCCCCCTTTTTTGTTGTTGTTGTTGTTGCGCGCCTGGCACGCAACCCACACCACACCGCATAACACAACAAGCAAGGCGAGAAGAAGACGGGAAATGAAAGATTGAAGGAGAAGGAAGCACACACACACACACACACACACACACACACACACACACACACACACACACACACACTCTCTCTCTCTCTCTCTCTCTCTCTCTCTCTCTCTCTCTCTCTCCCCAAACCCACTCACACAAACAAGCACTGAATAACAACGAATCAGCCAAGCAGCCAGCTCAGCAAACATACGGGCAGCGAGCAAGCAATGAGAACGAAATCAAGAAGGAAGGAGGAGAAGGACAAGCGAGTGGAGCAAACAACGAAAGAGCCTACCAAACAAAGTGCCAAAGTGTCAAAGTGCCAATGTGCCATAACCTGAAATCACAATACGCACGGGGGAAAAGAGCAGTCCGTCCCCCGCCTTACGCTATTGTTTGGAGGGCTTTGGTGGCGCGTCTGTCGCTGTGACGACAGGCTGATACACCTTGAGCAGCCGTTTCAACAGCTCATATGCGGTGTATGCGACCCCGGCTTGCGGAATCTCGCGAATGTAGTTGATGGTGAGCCCGCGAAATAAGCTGCGCATGCCGTTCTCCGCATATATCGCCTTGAGTGCTTGCGCGATGCTGCGATACCGCGGTGCCTGGTCCGGGCGGTGGGCGTCAAGCTGCATGCGGCGGCGAACAACGTCGAGCGGATACGAGACCGTCTGTGCGACGGCGCCCGCAACACCACCGACGGCGATGTTGGCGAGCGGGTTGAGGTGCCGCGGGTCGTCGCGGCGCTGCCGTAACGCGGGGATGCTGAGGATGGCTGCCTTGAAGTTCTCGTAGCAGAAGAAGCTCACGCCCGCATATGGGATCATGCCGGCCAGGGTGGGCTTGAGGCCGCGGAAGAAGGCGGCGCTGCCCTCTGTGTGCAGGATGTCGCGCACGGCCTGCCGCACGGTGAGGTCGTCGCCCACCTTGAAGGCCATGCGCGATCGCAGCACGTCCAGCGGGTATGTGGTGCACACGGCGCAGATGCCGGCGGTGGAGCCCGCGAAGAGGGACACGATCCGCTTCTGCCCAAGCTCCGCAATGTAGAACTCGCGCGACTTCTCATACACCAAAAACTGCACGGCTGCGTAAGGGAACACCCGCATCATCTGCGCCTTGTTGCCGCGGAAGTAGCCGCGGACGCCCTCGTTGCGGTAGATGGCCCGCAGCCCCGACAGCACGCCGAAGCGGTGGTATTTGGGGTGGTGGCCCTGCAGCAAGATCTTGAGCCTGTCCAGCGGCATGACCACCGTCTTTGCCACGCACCCCGTCAAACCGCCCGCCACAAAGTTGCGCACCGGGCTTGCACGCACCTGATCCGACGGTGCTTCCGCACCCCTCATCCTTGCGTTGGGAGTTGGGTGTGTGTGTGTGTGTTGGTTGGTTGGTTGGGGGGGGAGTGTGTTAGCGTGCTTGTGAATGCGTTGGTGCGTTAATATGAATGCGTGCACGTGTGTGTGTGTGTGTGTGTGTGTGTGTGTGTGTGTGTGTGTGTGTGTGTGTGTGTGTGTGTGTGTGTGTGTGTGTGTGTGTGTGTGTGTGTGTGTGTGTGGGTGCAGTGCTATCTCCGCTCAGTTCTTCTTGTGATCGACTTCCTCTGCATGCTCTGCTCTCTGCGCTCTGCACTCTGCTGCGCCACGGAATGCGCGTTTGATGCGTGTGCGTGGTGCGTGGATGACTGCAATCGCGGTTGGTGCTGCTTGCTTGTGCTCGCTCTTTGTTGCTTCACATCAAGCAAAAGTGCTGGGCTGTTGCCAATTGCGATCCGATGCGCGCAATTTGCAAAGGATGACTCATTTCGACGACAACAACAGAAGAAGAAGAAAGAACAGAGTGAGTGAGGTGGTGCGAGACGACAGGAGGCAACCAACCACCGCCAGCCAACGACAGCCAGCCAACAAACCAAAGGGCTCAACCCACATCAGTCAGGACGTGCCGCGGGGGTGAACCTCGAGGATGAAGAAGGCCGCCGTTCCAGCGTACGTGTTGTTTGACACATGTGTGTGTGTGTGCGTATGTGTGTGCTTGTTTACGAGGCATGTCTCGTGGCGTTGCTTTCCTTTGTTTGCTCTCTTCGGTGTCGTTTGCGTTGGTTGTCTGTGGTGTGCGTCTCATCACTTGCAGCTGCGTGTGCGCGGTGAATTCCCCATAGCTTGCGTTCTCCCTTCTCCCTTGTGTGTCTTTCATCCATGTGTTTGCTCGCATCCCCCAAAATGTGTACACATCCACCTCTCCCTAACCTCTATTTGCGTGTCCACACGCTGACCATTCGCGCAGGATGCGCCTGGATGAGGCGTTCAAGACCCCGCTGAAGATTGGCCACCACGTCGACCTCTCAGCACCAATCAAGAAGGTGCTGTAACACGCTGCCGGTTTGCAGTGCGGCGACATGGACAGTGCATGTGGCGACATGGACAGTGCATGTGGCGACATGGACAGTGCATGTGGCGACATGGACCCATGATCAAACACACACACACATACACATACACACACACACATACACACACACATGCACGCACGCACACACACACACACACACACACACAGACAGACAGACACACACATATGGGCTTGCTTGCTTACTTCATCTTGTGTGTGTGCATGGAACGTGTGAACTGGGCCCCTTTGCGCGCTCATCCTCGCTAATATGAGTTCTGCCACAATCATGCACTCCTCACAACGTTGGCAGGTGATCGAGACGGTGTACGAGGAACCAGCAGACAGATACACACAAGAGCTGCGTGACCTGAATCTTCTTCGCGCGGTGCGTACGCTCGTTCGAATGGTGTCTAGCAACATGTGGTGACATGTCGTGTGAAAGGAGGAGCGTTGGTGTTGCTTCGGGCGTGACATACACACACGCACACACACACGCACGCACGCACGCAAAAGGCCGTGCACCTTGCACACACACGCACGCACAAACAAACAAACAAACAAACAAACAAACAAACAAACAAACAAACAAACAAACAAACAAACAAACAAACAAACAAACAAACAGGCACACGCATGTGCTCCCTTTCCATCACACACTCACATGTACACATACCAAATGTATGTGCGCGTGCAGAATGTGCTGCGGCCGTCGTACGATGCGACGTCTGTGGAGCATCTCAACAACTACTTCTCACAGCTGCAGCCGCTCAAGGCACGGTTTTACCACGACCCGTCTTCAGAAGTGCGCATCATCTACACCTGGACAGACACGTTCTCGGACACGACGCAATCCTCGCACGAGATTGCGTTTGAGACGGCGTGTGTTGCATACAACATTGGTGCTGCGCTCGCCCACAGCGCGGCGATGTTACTGGATGGAGCAGCCGCTTCTGCTGTCGACGGCTCACTCAAGGAGGCGAGCACACGCTTCAACCAGGCTGCGGGGGCGTTTATGATCGTCAAAAGTATGGGCGCACAGGCCGAAGGCGATGTGGCGCCGGATTCCGCTGCTGTCCTCATCCACATCATGCGTGCACACGCCCACGAGTGCTACCTGATCAAGGCCATCCACACCAACAAGTCCAAGGGCACCATCGCGCGTGTTGCTGCGCAGGTGGCCGAGCTGTACGACGAGGCGCTCAAGGCGCTCGCGTCCGTTCATGTGGACCAGAAGTCCGCACACCCTTGGCGGCACTGGGCGCTCATGCTCCGGCTCAAAGCTATGCTGCACCGCGCAGGCGCGCAGTTCCACATGAGCGGTGCCTGCAGGCAAACGGAAAAGGCTGGCGAGGAGGTGGCACGCCTGCGCGCGGCCAAGGACCTGTGTGAGGAGCTTCAATCCGTTGCAAGCAAGGCCAAGAGCGTTGTCAAGGTGGACGCCACGGCATGCACCACGCTCCTCAACCAAATCAACGAACGTCTTCCAAAGGCAGAGCGCGAGAACCAGGTGGGGCTGGTTGGTGTGTGTGCTTGTGTTGTGTTGGATCACGCGCCAGAGCTCTCCTGTTAACACGCGTATTGTGCTTATATGTATGCACATGTGTGCGTGCACACACACACACACAAACTCACACACACACACACACACAAACTCTCACACACACATACACATACACATACACACACTCCCTCACACACACGCACGCACGTGTATCCAGTCCATCTACATGGAAGTTGTGCCGGTGGAGGGCAAGCTGCAGGACATCACGCCAGCAGAGCTCGTCACCACCTCCCCATATGAGGTGCCGTCGCCGTACCGCGACGTGCTTGGTCGCCTGCTGCCGCTGCGCACGCATCTGGTGGCGTCGGAGTTTTCGGAAGCAAAGGCCGCGCTCATGCGTGACGTCATGGCCAAGGTCGACTTGCGTAATGACGAGCTGAAGAAGGCGATGGATGCCATGGACTTGAACGCCGGCGCGTTCCTGGAACGCACAGTCACCATTCCGCCAGACATTTACACAAAGGGGTCGATGCTGCGCGACCCACAGCGAACAACGCCAGCGTCCGCCCGTGAGCGGTTGCACAAGCTGGGCGAGCAGCTGCAACAGCTGCAAGACCGCACACGCAGCCTCTCACGCGAGGTCAAGACGCTCGCCACCCAGCACCCCCGCCACTCATCCGCAGCCAAAGCGCTGACGAAGGAGATCAAGGACAAGGAGGCGCGTGTGCGCCAGGCACAGGACGCACGCCACAAGATGCTGACCACGCTTGCCGAGGTGGAGAGTGACCTGCGTCTGCTCTCTGGTCCGCATGACGCCCTTCGTCGCAACTTGCCCTCCGCATCCCTGCTTGACCGCGCGCTGCACGAGGACACACACAAGCAGCGCTTGGATGAGCTGTTGGGGAAGGTGAAGCACATGAGGGAGTTGCGAATTGCACGTGTGAACCAGTTTAAGGACGCCGTCAAGGCCGCCGACATCACGTCGCAACTCGGTAACTTGGCGGAGTGCAGCACGGGGAGAGACAGGGGCCCTTTGGAAAAGAGGGAGAAAGAAGGGGGGAGATGAAGGGCTTTCGTGTGCTGTGATGGGCTCTGTCATGTACATGATGTGTGTGGATTACACTTCCATCACTGGCTTGTTGTTTGTTTGTTTTTTTCTTCACACTCACGTTCACGTACACACACACCTACACATGCCTACACACACCTCCACACACACACACACACACGCACACACCACATGCAGTTGTTGCCGAGGACCCAAAGGCGGTGATTGACGCCGAGATGGAGAAGCTTCAGCAGCTGAGTCAGGAAGTGGAAGGCAACCTCACCTCACAGTCAAAGCTGCTGCCTGTGCTGGTGGAGACATATGCAAAGCTGTCCGAGACACGGCGCACCGCGGAAGAGGTGTTGCAGAAGCAGAGGGCATACGTGGACGGGTTGTTGGCCGCCTACGACACGTTCACGCAGATATGCACGTCGCTTGCCCGCGCTGAGGAGTTTGCTGACGGCATGAAGAAACAGGTGGAGGAGGCCACCACAGCCAAGGAGGCGTTTGAGAAGAAGTGCACTGCTGCTGCTGCTGCTGCTGCTTCCAAAGAGGGTCACAGCAACAGAACGGCCACCACCAAGGACAGCGCCAGCAGCAAGAGCAAGGGTGGTACAGGTGCAACTGCGTCCCTGCTGTCACCGGCAACAGCGGGGGTAAGCGGTGTAGCTGTTGGTCCGTCTGGGCCGCCGCTCTCACCACCGTACACACGTGCGGGCAGCGGGTACGACAACATGCAGCCACTCAGCGCCTCTGCCAGCAGCAACAGCAGTCACGGTCATCATCATTATCAGCATCATCATCATCATGGCCACCACCATCACCATCATCACCACGAGCAGGAAGCGGAGGCGAAGATGAAGAAGAACCAGAACCAGCCGGCAATGCGGCTGAGTGCACACGATCCCTTTGAGCTGGAGATGGATGACGCCGATCACAGCACCACTGGCACAAGTGGTGGTGGTGGTGGTGGTGGTGCAAACACAGCACCAACAGCACCAACAGCACCAACAGCACCAACACCAGCTGCCACAGCTGCGACAAGAACACAGTCGTCATCGTCAGCTGCTGGCGGAGGAAAGACGGGTGCACTGATGCTCCCTGAGCGGCGTGCCATCACACCCCCACACGCACAGAACACCACGCGCGCCCCCACAGCGACAACAGCGACACCAGCGACAACAGCGACACCCGCGGATGTGGTGCGGGCGGTGGAGGCAGCACACGCAGACCTGACGAAGCATATCGAACGATTGCGACAGACGGACGCGAGCAACAGCACCGGCTTCGAGAAGGAGTTTGCGCTGTTGCGTTTGGAGGACATCAAAGTGCACCAGCACACGCCATGCACCGTCGCAGCTCGCAACATGGACAAGAACAGGTGTGGGTATATATGTGTGTGTGCGTGTGGGTAAGCTTTGCGTCTTGTTCTTTGGTGTCCACGTACTTGCCATGTTTTGTTGATGTTTTTCTTTGACTGTGTGTGTGTACGTGTGTGCGTGTTGGGTGCACACTACACATTGTGTGTACAGCGCGCCCTTGGTGGACTCACTTGCATTCTTCGTGAAACCTTTCGGATCCATCTGCATGGCTCACTCGCCTGAAACTTTTTGTCCACTCGCCCTTCCCTGTTTGTTTATCCACCTAATCACCACTGCCTTTTCCTTCTTACCTTGCCAATTGCACCGCAGGTACAAGGACATCCTGCCGTACGACAGCACGCGCGTGCGGATGCTGAAGCCGATTGCGTCATCGCAACACGACGATTACATCAATGCATCGCACGTGCCCTCGCTCCTGCCCGGGTGCCCCGCCTTCATCTGCTCCCAGGCGCCCACACGGACAACAGCGGGCGACTTTTGGAAGATGGTTGTGCAGCAGCGTGCACGTGTCGTGGTTATGGTCACCAACCTCTCCGAGAACGGCCGCATCAAGTGTGACGAGTACTGGCCGCGGGATGTCGGTGCCACCATCAACATTGGCGAGTCGCCCCTCGGCCACGCTGCAGACGTCACCTGCGTGCACATGCGCCAGCGCGGCGGGTGGGTTGAGCGCGATTTCGTCATTGAGAGCTTCCTCCCCGACCACAGCAAGGTGCAACGACGCGTGACGCAGTTCCACTACACGGCGTGGCCCGACCGTGGCGTGCCATCAGCACCCACCGTCTTCCTCCACTTCCTGTTTGCCGTCAACAGCCACTACCAGCACGTGCTCGGCGAATCACAAACAGCGGGTGAGCCCCAGTGCCCGGTTGTCGTCCACTGCAGCGCCGGCGTTGGTCGGACGGGCGTGTTTTGCGCAGCAATGGCCGTGCTGACACACCTCCCGCACCTCGCGGCAACAGCTGCAAGCGCTGGTGCCGCCACCACATCCACGTCCCCCTCCACTGCCGCTGTTGAAACTGGCAGCAGCAGTGACACCGGCAGCACTTGTGGTGGTGGTGGTGGTGGTGGTGGTGTGGATGGCGGCACGCCACGCGTTGACATCATGGGCCTTGTGTCGCGCATGCGCCACTACCGTCGCTTCATGGTGCAGTCCCTGGCGCAGTTTGAGTTCTGCTATGCAGCGGCACTGCACCTCACGCAGCAGTTTGTGCGGCGGTTTGGCGATGATCGCCAGCGGCTGTCTGCGGCACACACGCACGCGCTGTCAGCACGCACGCCGCAGCAGGCATCATTCTCGTCATCGTCGTCGTCGTCGTTGACGCCAACGCCTGTGCCAATGCCCATGGCAGCCAGCGCAGCCCAGCAGCCACAGTATCAAGACTATCCCCAACACCACCAGCACCAGCACCAGCACCAGCAGCGAGAGCAGCAGGGTGTCGGTGCTGTTGGCGTTGCGAGCGGCGATGCATTTGAACCAGCAGCGATGGCAGGGTACCTCCCGTCGTCCTCACAGCCAACACCAGCAGCGCCGATGGCGGCACAGCAGCCACCACCCTCATCCTCATCATCATCATCATCCACTTCATTCGCATATGTCGCAGACACGACAACACCTGGTACCGCCGTGTACGGGGCCACCACGATGCATCACGGTGTTGGTGGTGGCGGTGTCGGTGTCAGCATGGCGGATTCCCTCCGCGAAACCATCAACTCGCGTCGCCACAGTCGCAGCGGTCGCACGTCCACCAGTGACATGCCTGCAGGCACGCTTTCCCTCGATGGCCTTGATCTCACAGCCTTTGGCGCGGATGACGGCGTTGCCGCTGCGATGGGTGCCAGCGGTGTTGTGGCAGGTGGCACGGGCACGGGTAGGGTGTTTGGTGGTGGCCGTGGTGGCCGTGGTGGCCGTGGCGCGGGTGTTGATGCTGTCACCGCTGAGCAAACGCGAGAGGCGGAGCGGCTGTCCAGTGTTGGCGATCTTGACAACGATGCGCCTCAGCCCATGGAATCCCTCCCTGACATGTCCGTGTTTTCTGGCGTTGCGGATGTGTTGCGTGTGGACGTGACCTCGCCAGCATGGCAGCAGTCGTTTGCACCGCACCAGATGAGCCAGCAGCCAGCACTCCAGTCGCACCAGCAAGAGCCGCAGCAACACGGTGGAGGGGGCGTTGTTGCGACACCCATGAACCACTATCCTGCATCACAACAGCAACAACAACAACAACAACAACAACAACAACAACAACAACAACAACAACAACAACAACAACAGCAGCAGCAGCAGCAGCAGCAACAGGAGGCGGGTGGAGAAGCGGTGACACCGCCAACGACGACAACGACAGCGACAGCGTCAAGCATGATGCTGGAAGGGCTGTCACAGTTTGCGGAATCACAGCTCTCATCCTCACAACAACAACAACAACAACAACAACAGCAACAACAACAACAACAACAACAACAACAACAACAACAACAACAACAACAACAACAACAACAACAACAACAACAACAACAACAACAACAACAACAACAACAACAACAACAGCCATGGCGGCAGCAGCAGCAGCAGCAAGATGGTGTTGGTGACACACCCAGCTCTTACAGCAACTACTACACCTACCAACAGCAGCAGGCTTACCACCAGCCGCAACAACAGCCGCAACAACAGCCACCGCCCCAGGGCCAACCTGTGGGAAACATCGACTACCTGAGCGATTCTGCTCCACCACAACAGCCACAACAGCCACAACAGCCACAACAGCCGTCATCACAACCGTCATCGCAGTACATGCAAGCCCCTGTACCGCAACGGCAGCAGCACGACCAGACATGGTACCATGACACGCAAGCGCAGCAGCAGCAACAGCATCCACAACAACAGCTCTATCAACCACAACCACAACAACAGCCCCAGCAGCAGCAGCAGCAGCAGCAACAACAGCAGCAGCAACAACAGCAGCAGCAGCAACAGCAACAACAACAACAGGACTATGTAGCTGCGGGGGAGCACCCTGCTTTGCATGGGGAGTATCAACAGGACGTGCCTGTTCCCACAAGTGTTGTGGCGTCCATGTCAACAAGCCAGTACGCGTACAACACATACGCAGCCCATGCACAACCACAGCCACAACCACAACCCCACCAACAACTACAACCATCACAACTGCAACCACAAGAGTTGTATCAGCCTCACGTTCAGCCACAGCAACACCCACAGCAGCATTCCTCTTACGACCAGCAGCAACCACAGCACTACCAGCCACCATCTTCGTCGTACACGTACGACGCGTACGCTGACACGGCCAACACGGGTACGTTCCCCACATCCATTGCACCATCAGCTTCAACAGCAACGACTATGGCAGCGCCGACAACAGGCGTTAAACCGGCTGCATCCATGCAATCGCCATCACCATCGACATCAGCACTTGCACCGTCGTCGGCCTCGGGGTCCGTGGGCGGCGCAGAGCTGGATCTTGATGCCCTGTTCGCCAGACGGGAGGAGCCAAGCCTTGACGCGATTTTCACAACGCCGCCAGCAACCGCTTCAAACAAATACACGGACACGGCCGCCACTGCACAGCCAACACAGCACCAGCACCAGCACCAGCACCAGCACCAGCACCAGCAGCCAACACACCAGCAACAGCAGTGGCACGATGGGTCCTGGAATGGCGCGTCCAGTTATCAGTCATCAACGGTATCCCCTCACCCACAACAGCAACAACAGCAGCCGTCCTCGTATTACGCGAGCGGCAGCGACAATGCCTGGCAGTCCGCAGACCAACAGCAGCAACAACAGCATCAGCAACCACAACAACAACCACAGCAGCAACAGCAACAAACGTATCCGTACGCATCATACGTCCAACAACCACAACAGCATCATCTGCCACAACAGCACCATCTGCCACAGCAGCAGCAGCAGCAGCAGCAGCAGCAGCAGCAGCAGCAGCAGCATGCATATCCACAGTACACATATCCACAAGCGCAAGCAGATGGCGGCTACACAATGGTGGGTGGACGATGCTGCTTGATTGCACTTGCTTGCGCGATGTGATGTGGCGTTGGGATGTGTTCGCTCCGCTCACACATACACACACACACACCTGCACACACACACTTGCACATATATGATGTATGATTCTGTTCTTCTGCAGCCGTATCAAGGTTACACCGCACCCCAACAGCCGCAGCAACAGCAGCAGTCTTATTCTTACCCTTATCAACAGCAACAGGTGTGTGTGTGTGTGTGTGTGTGTGTGTGTGTGTGTGCGTGTGTGTGTCTGTTCATGTGTGTGTGTGTGTGTGTTCATGTGTTCATGTGTGTGTGTGCCAGTGACTTTGATGATTGGTGTGATTGCACTGTTTCGGATCATCAATCATCACCGCCGTTCACCGCCATCCACCACCATCCTTCCATCAACCACCAGTACCCGCAGGTGTCGGCCGGGAGTTTGCTGGACAGCGATTTGCCGTCAACGACAGACGGCGCGACGCTGCAGCCGACCAAGACGCCCCTCGCTCGACGCACCCTAATGGACTGAACCCACGCACGCACACACTATGTGTGTGTATGTGTGTGTATGTGAATGTATGTGTGTGTATGTGTGTGTATGTGAATGTATGTGAATGTGTGTGAATGTATGTGAATGTATGTGTGTGTATGTGTGTGTATGTGTGTGTGTGTGTGCACGTCCGAAGCGAGTTCTTGCTTCGCTTGTGTTGCTCTCATGTGACCTGACTCCGCCCTGTTTGGTTATTTCAGTTTTGGCCATTAAACGAAACTGGGCCAGCCCTCCTCTACCTCACTGATGATGGCGATGGTGATCACACACACACACACACACACACACACACACACACACACACACACACACACG